ACCGGGTTTTGTCCGTATATGGTTTAGCTTCAAATCAATTTTAGGTGATATTGACCGGCTTGGTTTGATTTATTTTGGATTAATATTTTCATGGACAATTAAAAATTAGTGAAGATTAATTATCACTCAATGAATTACAAAAATAATCACACGGCAGTGTTAAAACAAACAAAAACATATTACTACAGAAACAAAAAATAATGGAAAGGTAACTTGTAGAACAAGGAACACACTATTCTTCATTTAAGCCCTAGTTCTGCACCTTGCGTAGCAAAAAAATATTAAAGCCGGTCACTTCATCAAATGAGCAATTGCATCATATATGTATATAGCCCTAAAGCATCTCAAGCTCTTCAGCCAAAGGACTTCTCCCAAGACTCGTTCCTCGTGTCCTAACCGGGGCAAAAGGAGATAGGTTAGAGGAGCTTGAAGCTCTTGGAGATAGTTGAGCTTGCTCAAGAACCCTAAATTGGAGCTCTGAAGGGTAATCTCTCATACAACTGATTCTAGGTCCTGCACCTGTACTCCATCTTGAATGTAGTCGCTGCGCTAACTGGTAAGATTTGATTCCTTTGTGTGAATCTATACGTTTCATTATCTTCTCCTTCAGGACAGGCTTCTCGTATTCTTCAATGTCTTCATCGAACAGATTCGATTTCGGGTATGTGAACTCTTCCTCGGCTATGAATATCTCTTCAGCTGTCTCATACCCTTGTGAAGGGGTTTCAGGTTCTTCTTCATCATCCTGATCATCCTCGATCTCGTTGTTGTCTTCATTTGGAATCTCCTGGCTTGAAAGTTTTGAATGGAACCTTGTTAACGTTGGTAGCTCTGGCTGATTGTTGGGTTTAGTGTTCGGACTTAGACCGGTCTCAGCGTCCACAAAGTCAAATGGTTCTTCTTCAGTTTCTTTGATTCTTGAATGCATTCTCTTGACCTTAGCATGAGCTTCTCCGTCTCCCTCGGATGCTTTGATTCTTGAAGGCATTCTCTTGACCTTAGAATGAGCTTCTCCATCTTCTTCATCTGGACTCTTCTACAGAAAGCAAAAATGAAAGTCTCTGTAACTGCGTGAATCATACACAAACCAGATCCAAAACTATGAAATGTAGATGACTTAAAACTCAGACCGGAATAGATTTACCTTTACACTGGTGAGGTCTACATTGTTCTCCCTGAGAAACGACATGAACGCCTGAAAATTCTCTTCTGTTGGAAGATAATGCCCACTATGAGGCCAGACTGCCTGAAAAGATCATCCAAAGAACTCAAACTTAGCACACAGTTTTAGCATAGCATTAATTCTCTTCTTTTTGCATAAGAGAACAGCCCAAGGAAAATCCTTTCTTTCACCTTAAGAACACCATCGTCAACAACAATTCTTCCGGCAGATAATGTAGCTCCACCGGCTAGAAAACTCGAATGTTGAAAGTTACCCTTTCTCTTCATTCCAGCATACAATATCTTAGATACACTTAAAACAAAAATCCACTTTGCATCTGGAGGACCTTCTTTTGTGTCGAGAACTATCCCACTATGCTTATAGATTAGTTTCCTATTGTCGATTACCACTTCATATGCCTCCCTTTCAGTCTGTTTGTTAGAAAGAATAAAGCATTATCAAAAGCATGTCAGTTACATCGCAAAGCGATTTGTTTTCCGAAAAACATTTGTCTATCACGTTTTGCTGAATAGAATACAATACTGAAGTTCATCAGAATTGGTCTACCAAACACATAAACTAGAGTGTGAAACTCACCGGACCAAGGTATTTGATGCTTTGTTGGTAAAGTTTTGACCTTGGACATCTTTCGTGGTTCAATTCTTTTCCTTGTCCTATGTCAAGCCTACATGTCCAAAGTTAGATGTTAGCTCCTAAAACGTATGTACTCCTGATACTGTCATACTTTTGATTGTGTAATCGCAAACTTACCAATAAAAAAAGGGCTGTTTACTGTCACAGTGGAGCCAGGCATGATAATAGAATTGCAGATTGTGGCCATAGCGATGTCGAGGATCAATCTGTTACGCTAGACAATTAAGATCACAAATGGCTTTACACAAAACTTATAACCACAGCAAAATACATAGTACAAGAATATTCTTACTGCCTCAAGCCAGTGCTGCAAAGCCAACTTCCTAGCTTTCTCGTCTTTTGACAAGCCTTTACCCACCTAAGCGATAAAATTGTCAAATCATGAGTTAAAGATTGGAGCGAGGGAAAAAAAATGGGACCATAACCAACATGTTTGATGGGCTTAATCTTACCTTTGCAGCTCTTGTTCTTGCTCTAGACCAGCGTGAGACTGCAGTCTCATGCTTCTCAATTTCAAAAAATGATATAGAACTTCTTTTAAGTTCAGCAAAGTCAAGTACCTTCCACCTGCAAAATTCCATTTAGTTACTAACCAAATAATTTTATTACGAGATGCCAACAATTATAGCTGTACGAACCATCTTTGCTCAACGACTACAGCACAATCAGCTAGCCTTCTTCTGGTACGAAAGCTTCTATAAACCTTCTGCAACTTTAACGCCGCTTGGTATCTTCCGTCACCTAATAACGCTAAAAACTCATTCCCAATATCGTTTTCGGAAAAAGGTTGCCATCTTCGCATTTTATATCTGTCATCTTCTTTCATAAAAGTCAAAGGTTTTCCAGAAAAGGTGTTCTCCACATCTCCTGTAGAAATTTTGGATAGTTGAGTCCCTTTAACACTAAGGGATCTGTTGTATAGTGTCTTTCTGGTTTCAGGTGATTCAGTGATGGTAGAATCCGAGTCATTGTCATTAAAGCTGATTGATCGAAGAATGGTCTTTGTTTCTGCGTAACCAAGACAAATGCATCTTAGAACTAGATCGTCAAATTTACCAGAATATGTATTCCAAAGCTCCATTATTAACCAACCAAGGGGGAAAAAAAAGGTTCATAGAAGTTGTCACGAATACAAACCCATTGTCACTCGAAAGTAGATTCAAGCATATCCTTGTTACGTCCCTGAAAATGAACCATTGAGACATTTCATCAAACACAATACGATCACCAATAAAACACACATAAAACACTCCAATTTCCAAAATTTTCACCATCTTGTTTCTAAATTTTCATGCTTTGCCTTTTCTAATCACCAAAACACAAGAAATTCATGTACAAATCATGTCACATTGACCTAAAAGTACGAGATTCCCAAGTTTTGTATTTCAGGAGAAAAAAAAATACCAACAAGAAGCAGACCTCGAGAATGCAAGTCAAACACAACCCATGAGACGAAATGATAGAGACGAAGAGGTACTTTAATGGAAGAAAACAACAGAGCCTGAAAAGTGGAAATGAGGAGAAAGCTTACGAAAACTCTTGAATGGGGTTGGTGTCTAGGATTAGATGGGAACGTGAGAGAGGACGAAAATGGCGGCCATTTCTGATTTATGAGATTCTCATGAAATCTCAATCTATCGATGCGAATGTGTTCCATTGGTCGGGAGAAAATAGAATCCTCTGTTTTTTCGTCTTTGAGCTCCTAAACATAGCGAGAGAGCTCTACACGATCGCACTGTAAATTTGGTTGGCTTCTCGCGTCCTAAATTTGGCCGATCCAAAACGGCATAGTTTTGTTTCCCGTCCAGTCATATTAACGGCGTTAATTAGGAAAATTTTGGAATTATAAACAGCAAGTTAATTTTAAAAAAAGTTCAAAGTTTGACCCAACCAAAAGAATCCATCAAAAATTACCAACTTTTTGCATCAATTTTCATAATTTTTTTTTTGTGCGGACTTAAAAACAAAAATACAAGCTAATTTTTCTAGATGAGGAGTTTACAAGTAAACAAAACTTATATGTATTTGTGTGAACAAATAACAGTTTATTTATTTAATTATAAATTTGATGGATAACATAAAACAATTGGAAAAAAATACTAGTAATAAACGAATAAACGATATAATTAAATAAATAATAAACGAGAGTGGTATAACAATACCAATAAGATTTTTGGAATATTGTATTAATTAATTTGTGATTTGTAGCAAAATGAAAGGTATCTCCACTAAAACCTACATATATCAAAACACCAAAATTTATGTATTTTGTAGAAATCTTCAAAACACTAAAAATTTATGTATCTTGTAGAAATTTCCAAAAATTGGTGACTTTTTGTGTAATTTCCCTACAAACACAACCAGAACCAAAACCCTAATCACTAGTAACCACTAAACCAGCTTATTGGCCGTGTCTGTTAAGTCCACTCCTTTTCCGACGAATCAAACTTTATCCCCAAACTCCGACGCCGAAACTCAATGGAAGGAGAAGATGAGCTCCGGAAACTAAACGGCGAAGTTTCAGCTCCACAAGACGGAGATGTAGAAGATGACGATCCTCTAGTATTGAGCTCTCAAGCATTAGCAGCGCTCCAGGAATTTCTAGCTGATCAGAACAAGACCGTTTCGAGCACACCGCCGCCGTCTTCCGTCGCCGGAGGAGAAGATTCTGATAAAGTGGAGCTGGTAACGGAAGATTGGAGACTTAGTCAGTTCTGGTACGAACCTGAAACAGCAGAGAGTGTAGCTGAGGAAGTGGTCACTCTGTCTAAGAGATTCTCAAGCTGTCGAATCGCTTGCATCGCTTGTCCTACTCTCTACGTTTATCTCAAGGTACGATTGATCAGTGTTTCGAAGAAGTATCGAATCTGTTTTGGTAAATGTTGATGCTTTTGTTGTTGATGATACTAAATTTATGTGTTTTGGGTTTGATTTGTGATGAGGCAGAAGAAAGATCCGAGTCTTCAGGTGCAATTGCTGGAGTACGATATGAGATTTGAGAGATATGGAAGTGAATTTACGTTTTATGATTACAATGAACCAGAAGATCTGCCATTGCAGCTGAAACATTGCTTCCATATAATCGTTGCAGATCCTCCCTACTTGGTAAAATTTTCTTCAAGTTCTTAGCTTTTCAGTTTCAACTTTTTAAAGTTCTTAGCTTGTGACATTCAAGAAGCTTATGTTCGATGGGCATTGCTTATACATACAATGTCATTTATAGACCTTCCTGATCTTATACTGTAGAGTTCTTCTAAAAGATTATAGAAAGTCCAAAATCAGAACAAGATTTAAGAAAAAGTGTGTGTAGGCGTTTTGCTAAACAGGCTAGGCTGGTTTGAAAGTTAGAAGACGAATTCTTACAAATAGAGTTTTATAAGTTGGTTATGGTCATGGCTTTAATTCTTAGTTCTTAAAGATAGATTCTTTGTGGCTCTCTGCCGCGTTATTATTATTATCATCCAACACATTTCATGCATAAAGTACTTGTGAGGACATCATTAATATATGATGGTTTTGTGTTTCTATTGTTTGCTATTCTTTGGAACATAAATGTATTTGAGTGCATTCTAATAAGCAGATTAGTGATCTTGATCCGTTTTATGCTTGGCAGAGTAAAGAATGTTTGGAAAGAGTTACCCAAACAATTTCGTTCCTCGCAAGTCCAGTAGAGTCTCTGTTGCTTCTGCTCACAGGTACATCAATGGTTTCTCTTTTCTCAAGTCCATTTCGTAGGATTTTATGTTTTTCTAACTGGGAGATATTACACCTCTTGCAGGAGAGGTGCAGAGAGATCGGGCGGCTGAGCTATTGGGTGTTCGTCCATGTGTGTTTAAGCCTCATCACTCTAGCAAACTCGGAAACGAGTTTCGACTGTTTATAAGTTATGATCCAGGTAGCAGATTAGGAGGCTTGGAAGAAGACATCTAGTTGTAAGTTGTCCATCTTTTCATCTACCATCATCTATATTGACTTGTTTATAAATTGCTTCTCTAATGATGGTTCTTGGATCTTTTTAATCTACCACAAGGAACAAAGCAATACCTTTCCTGTCTTGTTCTTCTTATTTTAAAATCTGATGATGATGCCCGGCTTAACCAATCTCAGGTTTCCGGTGTCTCAACTTCATCGTTTGTGGGGGAGACCGCTCATCAATGGTCATCTCATTTCTCAACTGGTCTTGGAGTTCTCATAATCGTTCTCTGTTCTGTATCTTGTTGCAACCGCAGATTTTATGTTGAATAGTTTTTTTGGTGAATGAAAGCTCTGTTGTTGAAATATCAAAGTTTTGGTTATTGATAGTTTATTGCATTACCAATAGATGATATACAATGTTTGTGAATAGTGATGATATTTAGATCGATCCAATCAGTAGAACAGAAACCCACATTTTGATTCGGTTCGAAACTGAAAGTAATAAATAAAATAAAATAAACCCGGTTCGATTCGGTTCGCCAACCACTACCCGAACCAAAGTGATAAACCGGGTTAAGAAGTTAAGATCTCGAGAAGAGTCCGTCTTTTACGGTGTGAGAGAGAAGAAGTAAAGGTTTCTTCCATGGTCATCGAAATTCAAACGCACAGAATCAGCAGAGAAGAGGACTAATTCTTGCGACTTCGGGAATGAGACCGAACATTGTTACCGAGGTGAGATCTGCTAAAAATTTCCATGTCTGATCAACTATTTTCCTTGATCTTAGTCAGAAATTGCTGAGGTTTTCACTTGTTTGATTACCGAGAAACTCATAGTGAGCTGATAGCAGAAAATCAGTACGAATTTCTGATAATTCGGTAGAGTTTACTACTAGTAATTACCAATTCGATTCGGCATAGCTTCAGTCTCGTGGCCAATCGTTCGTTGTAGGAACAGTCTCTTCATAATATAGCTTCTGTTTGTATTTTGATCCGTGAAATTGTGTTGTTTCAGTAAGTTCTTGAGTTCTGGGTATTGTAATAGAACTTCACCGGTCTGAATATGAAAGCACAACCATTATAGTGACTCTGGATCAATCGGACTATTGTAAGATATCTGAGGTTAATCAAATAGGTCAAGGATATAGATATTTGATATGGAATCAGAGAATCAAGTTTCCATGTCCAGACAAGCAGAGATTGGCACAAGGTTTAGTTTTTAAACTGGTGAATGTCTTGTAATAGGGTCGGTTGTGATTTGTTCTGGATTCTTATTTTGTCATAGGCTGGGGTTCAAACTAGAGTTGGACAATGGTGGAATGCAATACCGTTCCTCACGTCATCGGTGGTGGTAGTTTGTGGGCTCATTTACCTTATATGCCTCTTAACTGGATATGACACTTTCTATGAAGTATGCTTCTTACCCTCAGCAGTTCTTTCGCGGTTCCAAGGTATTTTCTCGTAGTATTGAGGCTTGTATTTCATGTAGAAGGGATTCTTAAGTTTGCTAATTTATGTTCTTGAAACTAATTATCCAAGTTGTTGATGATATTCCTATTGTCACTAATTTTTTTTTTACATTTTCTAAAAGATATTTTGTCTTGTAAACTGGTTTATTTATGTAGATTCATTGCGTTTTAATCGAGATGTCCGAACTGTCCTAATTGTT